TAATCACAGATATCTTCACAGCATTGGTTGACTTTGTTGGAATCACCGTGTTCGCAACGTTGAGGTCAGGCAAAGGTAACTAGGCAGGACATGCAAGTCAGTTGATGAGGTTGTGAACCTTAGTCATCGACTTGGACACGTACTGCGAATACCAAGCCACCATCTATCTTTACTTGCTGTGCTAGGAGAAAGTTGGATTAGGCTGGAAAAGGGTATAGCGTGTCCATATCAGGACGTGGCATCAGTCAATGAAGTCTCTTACCATTGGTTTGAGACTCATGGGAGACGGAGATTGTCAGCCTGAGGTCCGCGTAACGACAGTAATCAGTGGTGGAGAGCACCTGCTGACATGGCCGCAAATCAGTTATAATGGAGCAGATATGTTAACTCTTTGACATCATCTTAAGGTTGAATATTTGCAATAAGCTTCATCTTTAATTTGTTTAATCACTTATACACTTTGTCTACTTTGATGTCCTCCTTTTTCTATCAACCTGCCGTTTGCATACAACCGTTAACTATGGCAACGCGCTCGAATGCGCTTGTGTGGGCGGTTCTTTGCTGACTTTTCCTGTCTATCTTTCGGAACTACCGATTAGAAGACAGGTGTATTCAGCTGACGGATCTAAAAAGTACCATGCAGACATCCTATTTTCCACCTTCGGCTGTCTTTGAGAGAATAACATCAAAATGAACCTTGAGTTAATACAGAGGCTTGGGACAGGGAGCTTAAATTTAAAGTGAAAACTGTAGTTAATTGCAACACACACTAAAAGGCATGAAGCTCAGAAAAATTCCTGTTAAAATAACAATAATCTATTTTCCATGTATGGTGTATCAAATGTATATTGATCGGCTACCTTCAGTGATGAAATGTATGAAAACACACATGAAATTTTTCTCATTTTTTAGAAACCAAAATTTTTAACCCCGCTATCCTAAGTATGTATGTTGACGCAGAGATTTACCAGATTTTGGTTAGGCCTAGATTTAGCCTTCATTGAGGATCAAGACTTGACATAGCAAAATGGAAAATATATTGGTTGTTGTTTCTTCCTACTTTGTTTGAAGTCACCAAGGGAACTGAAGGTGTGTACGCTACTTCTAAGAGAACTTATGTTAGTAAAATACACCGAAAAAGACACGAACCTAGAAATATCGGCTAGGGAAGTTTCGCTAGGGAAAGGGTTAAATGCTGAGTAGAAGTATAAATGACAAGAATATAACTAACTGGAATGCCATACAAGAAAGATGCTTGTAGATGTGACTACATTTTAAATCTCAATATTTTTATCATTATGGAATGTAATGTTCGGAAATACAATCTTCGGTGCCTTATTAGACTTTTGTTCACAGTTACTGGATTTATATTTCCCTGACAAGATCTTCAATTCACGAAGCAGCTTGGCTTATAAACATTATAATAGCATAGGTGATATTGAGGAATATATTTAATACTGATTATTTTTGGACTCAAATTTCTCAGTCGACTGTTAGACTTCTTTCTTTTCTGATGTTCTTCAAATTTTCAAGTTTCATAATAAGTCATTTAACAAATAAATTTTGATTTGAAAAAGAGACAAATTTAAGTGATTACTTCCAGGTTTTCATATCTTTATATAGATATAAGTCAATAACCGCTCACATGTTGTAGAAATTTGTAAAGTTGGTTCTTTCTGGTATAACTAAATTTTATAAACAAAATCAAATGCAAACGTTGGATCGTTTATTGTGATCAGTTTCTAAACAAAAGTCAACGCTAAATATGCGCCAACACTTATCTACCACAACTCTTAATCTCATTAAACCAATATTTATTATCGAACAACTGTTTAGAATAAAAATAGTTGACAAATAATCCAGAAAATTGTAACTGATTCAAACTCATTCATAAAGATTTTCCATTGAGCGTTACATATCTGTTATCAACTCTACAGGGAGTGATTCAAATAATAAGCTCAATCTAAATAACTGTTCTCAAAACTTACAATTCAACATAACTTGGTAAAGCTCTAGTGTGCATATGTCAGGTTGAGGAAGACGTCCCCCAGCTAGAACATGGTCTTTAACATTGGCTGTTTCAATTCGATCAAATGGTTTGTCGCCAAATGTGAATATCTCCCAAATCGTGACTCCTAAGAATGAAAGGAACAGAAATATGGCCTTCAAGCATGTATTCAAAAGTTTATGCTTTTTGTGTCGACATTACCCCTATATACTACAGTTATTGTGATTTGGTAACCAGACAGAACATTTCAAACATATGAGGCCGAATAGATGTCAGTTTTGAAACTTAGTGGAATATATCACAGAATACTACCTCTTCATACTAACTTTACACTAACCCTTAATGTCTTTTAACATCTTTATCTAGTTATACATAAGAAAACTAGAAAAGATATTTTTTCGACATTATGGAGTTAAAATTACTGACCGTACCAAAAAGATAACTAAGTACCTTTCAAAAGACAGGTAATGGATAAATCTAAACTCACCATAGGCCCAGACATCTGTTTTGAATGAGTAAATACGGTGCGTTAAGGTCTCACATGCTAACCAACGAATAGGTACACGACCTGAGCAAACGATTACTTCATTACGTTTCGCTTCTTCTTCACTTTCAAGCATTTTAGCCAAACCAAAATCTGTAATCTGTAGATGATCTGGTGATGTCACTAAAACGTTTCGAGTTGCCAAATCACTGAAAATCGTAAAAAGGGAATATTCAGTAATGTTCGAAAACTGAAGTCATTTTTTTAATGTGTCGCGGAACATTTAAGATATACATTTATACCCGCAAATATGTTCACTGAGGTGATGAGCAGATAGTCAGAATTCTCTACTAATTATTTGTTGGCACGTGGGATTTTCCACTGCTATAATGGACAAAACTAAACCACCCCTGCCGGCAAATGGGCTTCCTGAACGCAAATCTAAGTAGAACCTTAAGTTTAATTTTGATGTTACTTGCTTGATCGTAGCCAGCGGTGGAGTACAGGGAAGGTGTATCGTCCTACTTGAGACTCACTGGCAGGGTATACTTGTATCCCAATAAGTCATGGTGTTCCTCCTGAGGTTCAAAGCCAGTTGCCATAGCTTCAAATATTACAGCGTTATCAACTAGGCTATGCAGTCAGGAGAGCAATGTCTTGTGAAACAGATCTCATTTCATCCTTTGAGATGGGTTATACGTACTTATTTACTGTTGTGATTAGATGCGAAAAAGACGAAACAGATATTCTGTAGTCTGACTGCATTGTGAATTAATTCAGTAGAATTTAATGCTCAAACCTATGATTCAGATGATCAAAACAAAGTTTGTTTCTTTAGCTGAAAAGCAGTTTCATCACTTTATTTAATAATTTGAAACCAATGGTGATCATATGAAGTGCCTACTAAGTAACTATCTAGTCAATATCATTTGAAAAACGTCCCAGTAGTGTTTTGCAAATTTAAAGCCACATAACCTATAAAACTAATTTCGCAGTATGCTACTTTGTAGCGAAGCTATTTTCTTCTATAAAGATCAGGCTTTGAAAAAGATAAAAAAAAGTAGAAAACTGACTCTACTTACCGATGGATAATTCCTCTTGACTGCAGATACGCCATACCATCAGCAATCTGAGACGCCCAGTCCAAAAGAAGCAAAGAGCTGATATCTGGTGCATGAAGTCTCAGATAACGATCTAAACTCCCGTTTACTACGTAAGCTGAAACTAAGCACTTTCTGGACTGAGACAAACATATACCAAGGAGTGGAAGACAGTGATAGTGTGACACAGATGCCATAACCTGAGAAGTAGAAGGCATAAACAAATCCATTTAGGTTTTCTAAAATTCAAATACCACCATAAGGTAGCTGCGAAATTATCCTGTTCAGCCACACGAAAATATATCTCCAACAACACAGAAGATTGTGGATTTAACCGCTTTTACGGGTTCATACCAGAATCATTTATTGTGCTCAGAAACCCTTTATGTCTTAGAAGTATTCGTATTCAAACGTGAAGATTCCCTCTAAATACGAATGATATATGCAAACTTATTGATGGCTTATTTCGCCCGTGAATTATCACAACACAAGATTTTGTCATTGCGTGCAAAAGTGAATATTTATTTCAGTCCGGAATGGTTCAGTAACTCATAGTTCTTCTCACTGATGGTACAAAGTCACATTTTCCTGCTACGTAGTTTTGTTTTGCAGTGAATTATTCTTTTAGATCTGTGTCATCTTTTTAGGTATCAGCTTAAAATCATGTCACAATAATTTTATCTTGTACACATTCAGTACACAACTAGACATGGAAAAGGAAAAAGTGTCAAAAAACTTAGTATAACAGAATCACAAGAAAGAGAATTTTCAAATTTCATGACTGAGAAGCAAGATGCGATATATACATCAGCCAAATAAAACAGGCCACAAATAACTATCTTTCACTGATTCCTACAAAGTTCAGTAATCATGCTTATAGACAAGCGATGTGGAGCAGGACAAATGAATACTTTTTCGTTTCAACTCATTTACAGCTTGCTTTTCGTTATATAATGCTTAGAATCGACACATAAGAAAGGAATATTGGATAAATTAGTTTTTCAGTTTGAATGGGGCAAATAGGAAGTGTTCAACATGAGATTTTAGAAGTTTTGTTCCGAAATACAATGTCAGATACGTAAATGAGAAGCTGACAGTTACTTCTTTTCGTCATCACTGCAGACTTTAGGGCGAGTGAGTAAAGACAACATAGAAAAATGGTTCCCGAAAACAAGATCAATCAGTATTACTTATTGCTACTAAGGTGCAGGTTCATATAACTGATGAGCCGTCGACAGAACGAAGTGCACATTTTGATTCCACTGCCAGCCACCACCAAAGAAGTTACATCATGAAATTAAAAATGTTTGAACGTTTACCATAGATATCTCTCTCCAAGGGAGTTCCTATCCCAAATAAAAGTAAATTTGAAAGATCACGTCATTCTGATGTTATGAATATGCTTATTCAATATAGTTTGCATAGCAAACAATCATAGGATTCTTTGCAGGTATTAAGGTAGTCAAATTTATTACTTATTAAATTGTGTATTACACCTGCAGTTACCACTAGAATGTTTCTTAAGCTTCATATCGACCTTTCTTATCACAGTGAAACTTAGTTTTTGAATCCTCATGCGATTAGGCTACAGGTTTTTGCGGGCATTCCGAGTAATCACTTATATATATATATATGTTTTGACAACAGTCAATAGTAGCAACAAGAGGAGCCAAAAATTTTGAAATTGTAATTTACCGTCTCAGGGGAAACAATGTGAATGGCATATACGTTAATTGATTTCAGAAATGAGTATCTGGAACACGGAGGTGAGAATTATCTGGAGGTACTAAACGTTGTTATTTGAACACAGAGATTTATCTACAACTGGCATGACGTTTGAACTCTCACTTACCTTCGCTTCATCCAATAAAGCTTGTAGATCACTTGAGCCACGAACTTCATTCAAAATTTTGACGGCAACGCAAAGTAATCTATAATCTTTATTTGATCTTTCTGGCACCACTTTAGTTGTTGTAATACTACTACCAGTGCTGCAACTGTTGGGTTCACCAATGCTATCATTTTTTGACGTACTGAAAGTTGATTGTCCAGCAGTTGAAACGTTTGTTCCACTTTCTAGAACACTGTTTGGTTTCATTTGATCTGTTGATAATATCTTCATTTTATCTGTAGGAGTAGGATTCATGAGTGAAGCACAATTGTTTTGTGAATTAGCCTTTAACAATAATTCTTCTTCATTAGCTGCTTCAATGACATGGTTTAAATTTGGTAGATTTGGATAATCTGTTTGGCGTACTTTCCATACACCCTGATAAACTGCACCGAATGCACCTGTGCCCAAAGGACCAGACTTTTCATTCAGGCACAAGTCATCTAGATTAATCATGATTAACCTGCCAAGATTTGGTGCTTTTTGTCCATTCACAATCTATGCAAACGGGGTGGGGGGAAGTTTTAAGCAATTAAAGTATAGAGTTGTAACTAGTAGTTAGCTGTATAATTAAATTTAAGGAAGAGATTGCGTAAAAAAACTACCTACGAATGCTGATCAGGAAGAAAAACACAACCAGTGGATTTTAATCATGAGAAACCAATAAAAATGTTAATTGAGGCAAATCAAGTAATAAATGAGCATTCTATTTCTTTTCAACTTGAGAAAAAAATAAGTGTAGTTTAAGTGAGCTAATGAAGCTAGGGTGCTGGGATCATCCACACAACATAAAAAAGTGTTGCAATAGTTGTAGTCAAAAAAAAGATTCAACGGTTTCACTTATACTAATCTTGAACCATATTTCAAAAACCCTTCTTTAAATGGACAGAAAGCCGAATTAGCTTGTTTACTTCATTTGGTACACGGTTTTACAGTATGAATTACTGAATGACACATATATTGATTCGATTTCAGATGCAATAAAAAAGTACCCATGGATGCCAAAGTGAAGTTGAAGGACTACCTACTGCGAACTCCAAAGTCAAAAGAAGAGAAAATGGAAATTTAAATACAGGTGTTCATGAGAAACAAACACATTCGAATAGATACTTGGATTTCACTTCGTCTCACCTCATATCTGTCAAGATTGACTTAGTAAAATGACTAGTAAATAACTAATTAATCAGTTTGACTAGTAAGTCAGAAATACACCGAAGAGATAGAAACAATGGAAACATTTGTGAGGACTTATAAGAGAAGGAGCAATTATGTAAGTGGTAGATGCAATATGCCTGCGAAGGAATTCAAATCCCCCATACTGTCATCATGTAAAGAAGATGCATCGATAAATTCTACATCGGATTCTGAGCAATACTGGGGTATGAGTGGAATTTAAAATCACAAACTCACTCAGAGCGAAAATCGCTAGGCAACAAGATCCAGTAGAGAGAATAGGGCAGAACACCCTTATCTATCCATTACTATGTAGTGATTTTCAGGTCAAGTATGTAGGTCAAAGTAGTCAGTCAGAGTCAGTTAGGGTAAGCGGAACGCAAACGTTTGGTGAAACATGGATTGGTAGGACCTGCTTTTTATTTTAGATTTGTCCCTCGGGTCCTAGTGGAACAGAGGGCTTCAGTAGCACGTCACCATTTCACTCGCTTCTCTGCAGTCTCTTCAACCTGGCTCCACAACCCCACATAAGCCAGCTTTCATTCCTTCCACACACACGATCTCCTCCATGTCATCCACGGACGCCCAACTCGTCGTTTCCCATCCGGCTCCCACTCGAGCGACTGGCCTGACGCATGATGTCCCCAAATGGTCTCCTCAGTCGATAACCAATCCAATTCAGTCCAACCCAATCCAATCCGACTCATCTCCACCTTCTTCTGCATATTTGTTGGGTGACAGGTTGTTGGTTGGTTGGTTCGTTGCCAGCCATAGTGAGTTCCTTGTTGCTTATTCTTATTATCCTCGCCATCTAATTTGATCTGATCTCATCTGATCTGATCTGATGTGTTCCGATCTTCAGTATCGAGTGAGCGTAGGCGGAAGCTGTCGATGTATGGCTGCAGTTTGTTGGGAGTGCTTTTCGTAACACGCCAACTCTCTGAACCATCACATAGAAGCACTGACTTGCTTGACTGAATTAGTGTTGAAAATCCGGATGTTGCTCGCGCTTCATGTTGAGTGCAGTGCAGTGCAGCGCAGTTCAGTAGATCTCCACACTGATTATTTCAGATTATTAAAGTCCGTCTTCGCTGGTGTACTTCTTGAACCAACTTGTTGGTTTTCGCTTGTAGAAGGACTTACTAAGATATGTTGGTTGAAGGAAAGCTCGTCTGCCACTGTGTAAGCACTCACTCATGACCAAATTGTAGATTGTGATGGGGTGACAATTTCAAAATCTAACATAGTCACATAAAAGTGAGGGGAGATGTTGATTACATAAACTTTGGTCACTGAATCAACACCCGGTAGATGTGAGAGGAGGGATACAAAACTTGTTGTAGATGGTTGTAAAATTACGCTTCCATTAAAACGAAGAATGAAGAAGTATTGGACCACAGAAGTGAAGTTTGAAAGTGGCATGATTACTTCGATTTGAATATGAGGAATAAATTCTTATCGAAACGTCCTCCAATAAATATGAATGTACGCCACATGAAATAGACAATTGTTTATGGAATTATACTACATCATATTGCGAAACCTTTGTTCCTACAATACTACAGCCTATGTTAAACTGCATGGCCTCTCAAATTTTCTGACAACCTGACCAAATTTCATAAATTTGGCTTACGCTTATCTGTCAATATTATAAATTTTCCTCTTACCTGATTTGGGTACCGGTGTGATCCTGTAAGGCTAGATCTCCTCAGTAAGCTTTCTTCAGGGTTTAAGTTTTGTATCTGATTCATATTCACGCCATTTTCGTCAAAATTGTTGCTTTGAGGATGATTTATTGAAGATAGATTGATAACTAGACTACCTTTTTTGTATTGATAAGTGGCGGCATTGGTTCCAAATCGTTTAGATATAAATGATAAAGGACAAAATATCATCTTCAACAGAATGAGTGGATTATGTTCATGTTTTTCAATGTACTGCTGGTTCGAACGATAACGATAACACATAAGTATGAGCATTGCGAATATAAGTAATATAATGCACGATGGAATCATAATTATTATGATTGGATCATTTTTCAATCTACGATGCATAGTATTACCATTCACAGAAGAAAAAGATGACGAAGACTTTCTTATCCCAGTAATGACTGCAAATGTTTCTTGTTGTGAGGTTGATGGAAATGGGATAGAATATACTCATCAAAGTATTGAAATGGATATAGGTTATCTTGAACCAACAACTCACTGTCACTTTTGCTCAAATATGCGCTATGATGACAAATAGTTTCACCGTCCATTTCAGGTACATTAGTAATGCGATAATACAGTTCATCTGGGCATTTCGGGGAGCATATAAACTTTCCATGATATAGGTGAAAATTTAAATTACGTAAGTCAGTCTGCAAAAAAAATATTTAAAAAGATGAAAATTAAAATTTCTAAATCGCGTGTTGTCAAAACAATAGTCAGTTTTCGAATTGCTGAAGTAATCCAAGTAAACTAGAGTACATCCCAGTAATATTAGTTACTAATTCGCAAAGCATTTTGCACCATAAAAATCTTAATTTTGGACTTTTGTAGTTCCAGTTTCTCTTAGTGGCTAGTAAAAAGAAATTTTACAAAAGCTTTTGCTTTTTTTTACACAAGTACGCTAAACGTATGGTAAGACAACTTTTAATGTCCACTTTATACAGTAAAATAAGTTACCGGTCTTAATTAAGGACCAATGAAACGAAAGGTAATTTTATTCTTACTGTTTCTTTCCACTGGTAGTAGTTTTGGACGTAATATTGCCAAAATAAATAAACTTATTATTGTACGTAAAGATTCATTACAAGTATATTTATGATGAATTGATTCTATCCTAAGTCGAAAACTTTTCAAATACATAACCTACTTATCAAGTTTGAACTTTTATGCTCATAGAGTAAGTCTATGCGTATGATAAGTTTCATATGAAGTAAATGAGTAAGGGACTCCTGAGCAGTGCGCACGGACAACCCATCTAGGGATGGAACTCAAAACCTTCGGGTTTCACGTGAACGCGTTCATCTTTAGCCATAAATAATATGTGCAACTGATACTGAGATCAGTTTTGTGCTGTAAATCCTCATTTTTCAATTCAAAATCAGAGTACTTAGTTAGCCAAATTAAAAAAAATGGGAGCATATTTATTTATGTTTCTCAAAGATCTTGTTACGTTGCCGAATATCGAATGGAGCCTGGTTTGGAAATGAAGTATGGGATGAATTATTCACTGGGTTGTTATGTAAATAACGGTAGTTTTATTTCTCTTTATGCTGAACTAGTCATTGATATTAATCCTTTTTTAAACTATCCAATAGACGCATTTTAATTTTATTTACGTGTTCCTAAAAGTTACATCTTACTATTCATTTTGAAATTTCTTGATCATTCGTTTTAACCATTTGGCACAGTAGCCAGCAGTTCCCAAAGATGACAGATCTCAAACAGATTTCATGGATTGGGGAGGTCAGTACCATCCATTTATCAAAGGTGTTTAAAAGGTTTGACCCCATAAGAAGTTTAGATCCAATAACTAAAACTCATCACTTATCTGTTATAGATGCAATTTACTACTTAGAAGTATCAGTAAATATTGCAATGTTTTTGTATTATATACGCTGATTTACTATGCCTACTCTATCAACACAAGTGATGACTGACTGTGATCTTTATCCCACAATAACTTTTAAAATACTCCAGGTTAGTTTTATATCACTGCATTCCATCTCATTATTACGAGAAAAACAATCTCACATAATGTGTAATTTCGTATACAAATTCAAATGTTTCTGTATGCAGACTTGATAACTACTTTGATAGACTTGATTTATTTTTGTAAATCTGAATTTATCATTGTCATTTTCAAGGCTACTCTGTTATTGACTAACGTTATACATCATTGTTCGCAATTTCAAACAAGGCGGAAGTTACTGGATATGTTTTGAAGTGGCTTTGTCAGTTTATTGAGAAAACAAAGTTTTTCTACTTTCATCAGCCTTCTTTTTTCTCGAAGCATGATGTCTGCAGATTTCTAAGCCTTTGGTGTATGAAGGTGCGAAGGTCATGTCTCAACTTGGGTATTCTTAAAAATAGAAACAATTGTCAAATTGAAGGATCTAACTGTCCTATAATGGTTTATACTCATTTCCTTACTGTAAAGACATCTATGAGTCAAAATTATGGCAATGATATCTTAAGATTAGAAGTTGAAGGTAACTTACTGACGGATTTTCTTCGTTAAGTCGTTGTAGACCATCAATGTTAGTTAAGTTTTCAGATAAAAACCGTACAGGCACTTTAACATTAAGGCAATGATTGCATTGATCAGGCCCAGGACCCCAGCATCCAGCATGACATTGCTCATGACAAGCTAAGCACTGGCCATTGACATGTCGTACGTGTACACCATTCATTTTTGAGCTCACTTCATCCGAGTTTGTATTTTTCTGGAAATTGCCTTCAGCAAAACTCGCGTTATTGTTCACCAATAGGGAATAAGTTTGTTCTGCATGATTAGGAGAAAAATATTCGTCAAACCTAAAACGTTACTGATATTGAAGACAAGATAAACCTGAAAAATTCAGTTTTGCGATCTGCTACTTTGAACTTTGGAATGTCGTTTGTTTCATTAAGTTACATATATCTGGTTGATCAAACCAAGAATCAAGAAAGCACATATTTAAGCTTTCACTTTTTTATAATCCTTTACTAGTCATGAAGACAAAAGCTATATAGTTTAACTTAGATATTGATTCGTTTGGTATAATATTCCCTCGATTATCCCCTACAGCTGACCATCACTAATGTACGGAAACCAAAACATTCATTGAGAACGAAACGGTCATACCACATATTTAGAATAAATTCATTCGAAGTGACTCATTTGTTGTGGTAACTCTAACCAGACACGAAAATTATGAGTCTTTGAGTTTTGTTTTCATCATCACAGTTATCAGAGTAATATTTTAACATTTAACACATTAAATTTTATTTTCCACTAAACTGGAGGTGATATGGATTAACTTTCATTCGAAATCTAATTCCAAGAATTGGGTGATCTCTTTCAGGTTCAGTCTTTTGTAAGACGTAGACTTGACTTGCAAATGTAACAACGTCACGTAAGATACTGTTATCAGTAAAGCTTTATGATGCGTTTGGGTAACTCGCATGTTCATATATATCCGTAACAGGTTTTTTTTATCGGATCCTAACTTGACTACTTGGTCTGCATATGTAAATGAGTATGAATCTGACTGGTCACTTTAATCTTACACAAAGTTTTTGTTATTAGGTTCATGCCAGAAGGTTGAATAATACCAGTTGTCATTTCCATTGAAAAGTGTCTTAGCATTTTAAAGGAACGTATGCGATTAAGGGGAAAGTCATCTTGAATGAGGTGCTAGATGAACTAGATGACTGATGTATTTAGGTGAAAAACTATTAAATTGCTATTATGGAGATATCATGCTTAGTAAATGGAAGAATTTCCGAAAGCTTCAGGTTAAAGTGTATTTGGGTTTCAATATTTCAGTATAAATCGATTCTTATGATTGTAGATTATTCAATCACTGGATGGTTGACAAATATAGTCTAACTTCAACTGTCTTTTTAATAATAACACAAAACCATTTAGGAGTATTTCGAAGTCAATTGTGATCACAACTTACCTGTAGGACAATGTTCTACACAAGTGTCTCTTAGCCAAAATCCATTGCATTTCAGGCAGCCTAAACGTTGGTCATTGGCTCTCAGTAAGCTATGTGCTGTGCACATAGGACATCTTGGATGACATGGTCGGCACACAGCAGCGACACTTGTGTACGTTTCGGCATATTTTGCGAATAGAGAGTTTGGCTGAACCATTTCCGTAGTCAGATAAGTTCCTGGTGGACAGTCACCTCTGATGCATAGAAGACTAACTGCATTAGTCAGAGATGTTGAATCTAATTTAACTAACATAGTATTAAACAAAAATATATTTAAGTCAGTAATCACAATACAGTTATTAAAGGTCATATCACTTGTCAATCAAATATGTTAAGTTACCAGATTTCAATCAAATTTAGCATAATACTCAAAGCCATTAGTGCACTACAAAATTTATTTGACGAAAACATTTAACCTATCAAATAGGTATTATTTCTTACCATTGCGTAAATAATTATGCATAAAGGTATAAAGTGACGACATATACTTTTAGGTTTAAGTATGAAACTTGGTTTTTGGGAAAGCATGATAGTATACCTTTCTCAAAAATCTAAGATGCTTGTATTCAGTCCAGTTCATTGTTTAATAATCATAATTTGATTTATTTCTTGAGACTGTACTTGGAATAATTTGCATTGACGTCAGTATCTTGAAAACATTTTCTATGTTTACAAGTTTTCACCCACAAAACATCTGCAGTATATGATATGCAGTGGTTCATCTTTAGGAGAGTTACCGTGCTACAGCACCAATCAACGGCAATCGGCTTTTTGATGTAGCAGATCGCTTTCATTGCAAATGATATGACATTTGAAAATTCCAATTCATTGCAACAGACAATCGACACTGGTCATTAGCATTCGACCAACTTTAAGAAGTGATAACTTGTTGTAAAAAGTATGCTTAGTTGAAACATTTTTAAACCATCAAAAGTTTAGGTAACTGAGAGAAAATACCAAACACCAATATTGAATGGTACGACTTTATAAAAACATTGTAACTGACCTGTCAATTCTGAATTCGGTTGATTGAAAGGTGACTGAATTATAAATTTTTCACATTTATTGCAACCTCCTTTACCTGGATGTCGACCAGGACCAGAGCATACTGGCTGTTTTGTGATTTTGCGTTGATGACAGTGTGTCTGACATGGTTCACAGATTCTTCGGTTAATATTTAAATAAGTGTTCTGTCGGCATTCTGAAACGCACTGATCTTCTGACTGAAAAAAAATTTACTCAAAAATTTCAGTTGTTTTCAAAACGTTAGACGAAGTTATAGGGGTAATGCCAGTACTGGAAGTAAAATATGCAGTAATATTTTTGGCCCCATTGATGTACCCAATAGCAATTTTGTCAGTGATGAAAATCTAAACATGTGACAATAATACATATATATATATATATATATATATATATATATATAATATTTGAACTAAGCTTCTGAAAGTAAGAATCTGCTACATATGTGGATCAGTTTTGTTAGCTCGAATACTTGAAGTAAGGATAGCCATAATCGCTTGCAACATAAAGCTGCATACCTCAGCTGAAACTGTTTCATATTCAGAATCAGCTTTTAATAGAACAGCAAACATTCTAGTATGAATTAACCAACAGAAAAAGGTGATACCATCATTTTGTCGCCTGGTTAACTAGTTCACTAGTTACTAGTTGGTCCTAAACTCGGGTAAACAGGGAAGGTTAGGCATAGGGCTAGCAACCCTACCCCCTAAAACAAATCTAACCGCTAAAGAAACTTCATAACACAAACAAAATATAAAAAATAACAAAATTATTCGTCGCTGGAATCGGAGAGGCTAAATGACGCCAGTTGGTGAAAGCGTTCGGGAAGCCAATCGGCCGATGTTTCTTCGCTCGATGAAAGCGAAAGTAAACGTGGGGACATGGAATGTCCATAAGATGTTTGAAGCTGGCTGGCAAGGCAGCCCAGATTGCAAACGACATGAGAATGTATCACATTGAAGTGCTTGGAATTTGCGAAAGCAGATGGAATGGGAGTGGACTCTCCAAACTGTCAATTGGAGAGTAGTCAATAATCTACTCCGATATTGTCACCAAGATCACAACCACGAGCACACTGAGTTTCGAAGTGGCTATCACGATGTCCCTGAGAGCCCCGAAGGCTCTCATGCAGTGGGAACCAATCTCCTCCAGGATCATGACAGCAAGATTCAACTCCTCAAAAGGAAGGAAGGTCACAATCACAAAATGCTATGCACCTACAAATAATGTAGAGCAAGAGAAGGAGGATTAGGAATTCTACAGACAACTTCAATCAACACTGGACAAGACCTCAGTTGGCGATGTCAAAATTCTAATGTGCGATATGAATGCCAAACTGGGAGGAGACAACACAGGAAGAGAACTAACCATGGGTCAAGAAGCACTCGGTGAGGTGATGAACGAGAATGGAGAATTGTTTGCAGAATTCTGTGCACTCAAAGATTTGGTGATTGGAGTCAGGTAGTGTGTTCAAGCACAAGGATATCCACAAAGCGACATGGATTTCACCAGATGGACACACTAAAAATTACATCTTCTCTATCTTAATCTCAAGAAAATGGAGACGCAGTCAACTTGACTCGAGGTCGAGAAGAGGAGCAGATGTAGGTTCAGACCACTATCTAGTGCAAGGAACCTTCGAAATCAAGTTAAAAGCCTTCAAGGAAGCTGGTGATAGACTGCAGTTCCAGTACAATACTCGGAAACTGAAGTACGAAAATACAAAGGAAATCTTCATGGTAGCCATCAAGACAAAATGGGAGATATCGAGGAACATTCCTGAAGAAACCTGTGTGGAGGAACACTGGAAGTCTTTGAAAGCTATGTGGAAAGAAACCTGCATAGCCGTATTAGGAAGGAAGGAGAAACAAGACAAGGAATGGATCTCGACGGATACTTAGAAGCTGATAGAGGATGGAGAGGAGGATGGTGAAGCAGAAGATAAACCAGTGCATGGATGCTCAACGACAAGAGGAACTGAGTACAGTGTATAAAACACTGGAGAAAGAAATGAAGAAGAGTGCACGGAAAGACAAAAGGCACTTCTACGACACACTGGCAAGTGAAGCAGAACAGGCTGCCGGCTGGTAAGAGAGACCTGACAACATTGTATCAAATAACCAGGCTACTTACTATCTGGAAAGAGATCAACGCAGACGAGAGCAGTAAAAGATGATGACGGAAATTTATTAACGAGAGAAGAGAAACAAAGGAAACAATGGGCCGACCACTTCAAGAAGCTCTTGAATCGACTACCACCACCACCTGCACTTCGTCCAGAAATACCACCTACAGCCGCTGAACTACAAGTGAATATAAATCCTCCAAAAAAAGTGGAAGTCCTGAACGCCATAAAGCTACTGAAATGTGGGAAAGCAGCAGGACCAGACGGAATCCTGCTACAAGAACTGAGAACAGACGCAGAGACAACAGCGGACATGCTCATACCACTATTGCAGAAGGTGTGGAAGGAAGAGAAGGTACCTGTCATCTTCATCATAGAACAGAGTATAGAACGGCAGTCAACTCTACAACTCAACTTTATCGACTCTGAGAAGGCCTTTGATAGCGTCGACTGACAGGTAATTTGGAAACTGCTTCAATACTACGGAATACCACAAACCTTTATCAGCCTAACTCAACAACTATATGAAGATGCCGCATGACAAGTAATTCACAGTGAGGAGCTCAGCTCAGTAATGCTTTTGAAGTGAAGACAGGAGTAAAACAAGGCTGTCTACTATCACCCATGATCTTCTTGATTATGGTGGACTGGATCATGCAGCAAACAGTAGGGAGCGAGAAGAGAGGGATACGCTGGTCGGACCGGGGAAAAGAACCTAGAAGATTTTGATTTCGCCGATGACTTGTGTCTGATGTCACACAAACTTGAAGATCTACAGGCGAAAACTAACAAGTTGGCGGAAGAGGCTGAGCAGCGAAGACGGGACTTCAAGTGAATATAGAGAAGACAGAGGTGATGAAGATACCCCACCACCACCACCAACATCAACAACAAACTGCAATCACCATGAACGGGAGAAACCTAAGGGAAGCAACCTCCTTCATCTATCTAGGAAGCACTGTTTCAACTACAAGTGGCGGGACAGACGAGGATGTCAAAGTGAGAATCGGAAAAGCAAGTGTGGAGATCTACTGCACTCAGCATGTGGAACAAGATGCGGATTTTCAACACCAACCCAGTCAAGTCAGTGCTCCTGTATGGTTGAGAGACTTGGCGCTTTACGAAAGGCATTCCAAGCAACTGTAGACATTCATCAACAACTGCCTATGCTGGCTCGTTACTGAAGATCAGATGGTCAGAAATAATAAGCAACAAGGAAGTGTCGTTGGGCAACGAACCAACCAGGAACCTATGGCTGAACAAATATGCACTGGGAGGAAGTGGAGATGGATTGCGCATGCACTGAGAAGGCCGACTGGGGACATCACGTGCCAGGCGCCCGAGTGGAATTCAAAGAGGAAACGACGAGTTGGGCATCCAAGGGGGTGATATGGAGGAGATCGTGCGAGGAGGAAATGAGAGCTTATGGTCTGCCGTGGAGCCAGCTTCAAAATATTTCAGAGAAGAGAGTGGAATGGAGACGTGCTACTGAAGCTCTATATTCCATTAGGAACCCAAGGGACTAATAAATAATAATAATAAATAAGTATGCAGAACGAAAACTTACATACGTGGTTAACTCACCCATGCTGTTTTACAAGATCCAAGACATTCATTAGCTCCAGGTCCAGTACACGACTTCCCACATTCTGGATGACATGGAATACAGTTATCCTCAGAATCTGCTGTGTAGTAATTCAGATCGAAATGTTTAGCTGTATTGTTGTCTAAATGCTTCTTCTTCATAAGGAACGTTGTCTCCCACTGCTCAGACATAAATCCTGGTAGGTCACTACATGACTGGACGCATGTATGCAATCCCGCTCTACGGTATGAACAACGGACACACTGATCTGGTCCTGGTCCCCAACATCCATATTCTTTATGACATGCAGCATGACACACGTGGTTTAAGGATTCTAAAATGAAACCAATTTTTTTCGACAAATAATGTTTTGTGTAAACCTTATCGGAGGAAGTATACTTTTACAAACAGTTGTTTGACTTGAAAACCCTGAGCCATTAGAAGCCAAACATGCCCATTTGTTTTAGTTCATTTTGATGCACGTATGGATAAGACAGAGGATACTGACTTTCTAGTTTTATTCATGCATTTACATATGAGTTGTATTTAAAAAACCGTATCTTAAACAATATTTGTAGGTCTTCGAAAATACCTGATTGAGGTTTTTGACCCCGGAACTGAGTTGTATCTTGTGCACATAGAAAGAAGAAATTGTCAAAATTTACGTACGTAACACTGAACTGTTTATCTGACTTTTGTGTCGGGTTCATCATATTTAAAAATTAATGTAAGGATTTACTTCCCACGCTTATATTCCACTATGGAACGTAAATGCATCTGTTGTCACTACTACTTCTGCGATACTTCCAATCATCTCTCCTATCACATTCTGCTCCAGATAACTTTGAGATAAATTCATAAACGCACCCATCAAATTTACGTTTCACGGTATTTTCAGCCTTCGATAATATAACTTCTTGCAACAAGTTGTATTCATCATAGACTGAAATCAGCTAGAGAACCACTGGAAATCTTGGAGCACTGGTATGAGTGTCCTCAGCTGTGCGTACCACATTATTCCTCCAGGGATTAGTAGTTATTCAACTGATATCAATCCCCGATGAATGCCAACTTGAAATCAAAAAAGCCCCAAAAGCCCTAGATTGTTGAATAACTTCTAATAGTTTTTAGTTCGTTATCCTGAGGAGCGATTCTTTTGATCAATAAACCTGTCCCATTAGTCACTGATTTAGCTTGAGCCTCACAGTAAAAAAGTGGATGACATTATTGCGTTCCATAACTTCGTATTTATTTGTAACATTTTTATCATTAAATTTAGTCCCCCTATCAAATCCAAGTTCAATAAGATGTAATCTTATTTGTTAGATAGAGTTAAACAAGAGTTATAAAAGTCAGTTAACATGAGACAACGTTTTAAGCAGTTTCGGTTATTCAAGCACAAGACAAATCACTTGTATTAAACCCCACTTGTTATATAGATGCTTCAACTTCCTCAATGTACTGACTATGCCACTGGGGGATGTTGTCGTAACAACTGAGATTAAGCACAAGTAATTCGTATCACAATAGCTTCATTACATTATTTGTTGACGCCAAATATATTTTCCATGGCCTTAATTCCAAAAAGAAGAAGAAATCCGATGACTCTTCGCATCTTTACACGTAAGATTTAAATTTAACGAAATGTAGCGATTTGTATACTGTGTTTATGATCACTGATTCGCCGTAAGTCAGCTTGAAATATTTTACGTCAACTTAGTGTCCGGTATTGTAAAGTTAATTGAAAGATAATCAGTGTATTCATATGTAAATATTTCGGTTAAAATAGCGTCGTGGGGAACAGATGCTGAGAAAGTTGAAAACGCATGTTACTATAGTTTTCACTTTCAAAAAGTCATATATTATTTGTTGACTATAAAATTTAATAATGCAGATTTGACACTTTCAAATTATTTTGGATCGAACTAGTGTCCTTTCTGGTATAAGGAAAAGCCTAATTTTTGGCTGCTACTTATGTTAATGAACTCATATAATTGTAGACATATTATGAAAAATGATCTTGTATGTATTTATCATTACTGTGAAAGTAAGATTACCGCAATATTTTTCACTTGGGCCGTCAATAATGGTGATTTGTATTGAGCTTGTTTGATTCAGTGTAGTTAATATACTTTTGTGGGCTGAAACAAGAGAAAAAACGCTTGAGTGTTTGAAACATAAGGTATGAATAAAATATTTTTTATGTAAATGACATAGTGAGGGAAAGCTTTTAGAAAACATTTCAGTAAACTGAAACAAACTGTCTGAATGTCTTCCATATGCTCTGATAAATTTCACGTTTTCACTCACCGTGTGGCGCTCATCATCAATATCAACATAGGATCAGGCATTACTGCGAGTTGCCACACCTCATATCAGTACATTAAGTAAAAAGGCAGTGAGGCGGGAGATGAAGATAAGGGAATGCAGTTAAAGGAAATATAAAGTACGAAAAGAGAGAAAGGAAGAATGAGAAAATGGTGAGATTCGGTACAGCGTCATTAAGATGAGGATAATGTATGTATACATCTGCACCACTGACATCGGTTCTCAGCCATGTCACCTAGGGTCTCCAACCACTGGTTCCTCCTGTCCTGTAGACCTCAACCACCCAGTCTGCATCACCCCACATGACTCAAACCAACAGTCAAAGACTTCATACATTGATGCCATGTTTTAGTCTGGCCACCTCGAGCCTTTTTCCAGCCTGGACCTACTTCGGCCAACGTTGTGTGATAAGGCGATCGGCGATTAGACATATGTAACACGTGTCTCAACCATCTCAGTCAATGAAGGTTCACAACCTCGTCAACCGACTTATCTCTTCTCCTTAAAACTCTACTCCTGACTTCTGCTTTACTCACGTGGTGACACCACGGAATACGGCCTATACTACGCAGGCAACGGTGGCGCTGATCATATGTTTCACTCTATCCTTGGTGATTCATCATCTTTCATATGAATACTTTAATACTGTTTGAAGAAAAGTTATTTCATAGTATTTAGTGGTGTAAATAATCGACAAACAAAGAAAAACGGTAAATAATACTCACTGAAATAATAGTTCGCACTAATTTTACAAGTAAATGGATCCCAGAGATGATTACTCAAGAATTTTGTAGCTACTCTACTCCTTTGTTTTCACTTTTGTTTGAATCTAAATGTTAATCACAGTAATAATACTGATATTTTACAATCTTTTTCGTATATTCTAATTGAAGCACGGAGTAGACTATCGCACCTGTTGAAATGCAAAATTTCAGCAGTGTACAGTGAGTATAACTTTTTTTTGAATTCTCAAAAAATTTTATTTTCCACCATTTTAATTTCCTATAGTTGTCCAGCCACCAAACATGTATTTCTTTGCGATTCTCATGAACTAAGCACTGTAGTTATTGGTTGGATCATTCAGAATACATATTCTGAAGACTACGATTTTTTATGAGAGCGTACTAAGAAAGGTTAGGTTGGAAAAAGCAAACTTTTATTTTCACATGAACTGTGATTTTTTCAATAATACTTATTTCAATCTATTTAGAGTGGTGAGAAACCATCTAACTGATGAGCTTCCTTACGAGATAATGCAGCGTTTGCAAGATAAAGCACTATCAAATTGTGATCGAATAGTATCTAGCTACTCTGTATGGATAAACTAAGCATGCCGTCAAATTCACAAAATTTATCAAATCTTAGTGATTTGTCCTCAGTACACACTTCAGACAAGAACTACAGGTAACTAAAGCAGTCTGAAAATCCGTTTCAGCCAGGTAACTGTTCAGTCTCTTCTGTTACACATCCTCCTACAGTTAGGCTTATTCACTTTTCGAAATTATTAATTAACTTAGTATTCTATCTCTAAAAGTAGTAAAGCCCATGAAAGAGTTAACAAATGTATTGACAGACATATACAACTTGTGAAAGTGGAAAGTTTGCACTGAATATATCTGCAGTAAACCCATCTAAACAAATACAGCTAAGACCGATTGAACCAATTGTTTATTATACAGTTTTCACAAAAAATGCACTACCAACAGAGTTTTCTAGCTTCGAAAAAGATAGCGCAGCTAAATAACTGATGGTAGAACACAACACCCTATATTTTGTTTCAAAAACTATGGTGGCATTTTAATTTATATAACTTTCATAAGTGACATCATGTTTACGGGGCAAGGAAAAAGCAACTTAGGATTACCTGAATTGACCCAAGGAAGTGACGACAAATAGCACAAATGTGGATTATTATGAAATATAACCGAGCCATGAGGAACTTGTCTAAGACTTCTTAATCCAGGGAAATGTGCGCCACTATTCATGATCATCATACTTACCCGTGCAGATGGCACTGCAATTAGGTGGGAAAAAAAACAAGGATTAAAATGTTAGCAAATATCTTATCTTAAAAGTAGCTAACATTTGTTCGTACACCTGATCAGCTTTTATTATGCTTACCTACCGCTAATCAATAAAATTGTTGTGCAAGTAACAGGCTACTTTTTCACAAAACGTAGTACACGTCTTAACAGTAGCTATGTAGCTATGTGCTTTGCGAAAGGTTCCAAAATGTTTACAGCTTAACTTTTCTTTCCCACAAATGAAAGTGAAACAGGTTGATCAGTCATTCAGGGAAATTTACTGTAGATCAGTTATCAATATTTAGAAATAATCAATCCTCAAGCTAATGAAACATGAGCCATGGTATCAGTTGTGGTATTGTCTGGGTGACTGAATAGTATCGGACTTTTTCACAAGTAAATTGGGGAATGCCACTTGCATTTGCGAGAAGATAAAACAAGATATTTTGTATCAGCTGAGATTATGACAGGTAGACTAGTTGGAATTTATTTTAGTTATGTATTATGTCTTTACCTGATTCATCGGTCTGTTCCTCTTAATTAAATTAGTATGCCTTTGACTTCATCCATATTCAGTATGAAGATCGGACTGCCTATATTTAACGGTAGGCCTCGTCCATATAGATTTTCTTAGATTAAGCACATCACTCACTGAAGTTTCGCGTCTCTTTACGGTCATTGTCTGAGGTTTTCAGTTTAAAAGTTAATTACTGGATTTGAATTCATCAGAACAAATATAATCCAATACTTACTTCTCGAAAGAGGACTACTCGGCTGTGCACCAAACAGTTCTAATATTTTATCACTAGACTGAATAATAAACCTGATAATTTCTGAGGTAGTTATTTTACTTTATGTTGACTTGACTTTTAATTTATTCTAAACAAAATTGTGAGTCGTTGAACTATAGGTAATAGAATTATTGACAAAGATAGTCTTAGGAGATCATCAGTAATGGTGAGATTCATTATTTTCAAGTAAACTTTAACAAATTTTAATGTAATCATATCAATTTCAAAACTCCAAAGTATTTTTTTGTCCGTATTTCAGGACGTTTTATATTGAATGTCATTAAACTCCGAAGATTTAATGTGCAAATGGACAGACGTATATTATTTAACTATCATTGTAACAGTTCGTATGCATGGACCTCATTGAGTGAGAAAGCGACGTCAGGAATGCTCGTTTCTGAGTCGATAACGAAGAAGTACGTCAGAACTTTCTTCTGAAGATAGAGGGATATAGTTTATCCACGTTGTTTCTTTCTATCTTTCGTCATAAACACTTAGAAACACCTCTGATCTAGGAACTTTTTAACTACTCTAGACCTTAGAGATTTTCACTCAATGAAGTTCATTAGGAGCCAGAGGATTTCAAAAGATTATTTTACTAGTGACAATCAATGAATGAAATTTTTGAGATGAATGGGGATTTTTA